GCTGCAAAGCAAAGGCAGTGGCGAGTAACAAAAAGTTGGAGGACTAATGTCTAGCTCCCAAATGGCCTTAATTTCCCACCTAAAATAGTAAGGAGACAACCTTCCTATCTTAAGAAAATGCCCCCTCCCCCCACTCTGGAACAGGATTAGTGTGGACTGAGGCTGAGAAGGGAAATGATGCTTTAGACAGCATCCCACTTTGAGGCTGGAGTCGTGTCCAACCCTAGGATTCTGGATACGGCTGTAGACCTTGTGCCATAGACTCCTCCTTCCAGATCCAGAAGAGCCATCTGGAGAACAACAGCTGAACTGGGGGCCTGCAGCTCCAAGCACTTGCACAGCGCTGTGCTGGAGAAAGAGTCCTGGGCTGGGAAGTAGAATTCCTGCTTGCAGCTTACTCGTGTGACCTTAGGCAAGGTCTTAGTGCTAGCACTGTGGCCCAGCTCTAACCAACTAGTACAGGGGGAGTATTTGGGTGTTGTTGTTTTTTTTTTAAGATTTATTTATTTATGCATACAGAACTGGGGTACTGGCCAGAGGTGCAGGGGCGGTGAGAGGATTCACCAGAGACAGAGTGGGGAGCAGAACAGGCAGATCTGCTGAAATACACTGCTGGGGGAGGAGGGGGAGAGACAGGGGAGGTCTGCTCCTCCCTGGCGGGACAGAACTGGTTCTGAAGCAGCTGTGGATAACTTCTTAGTACTGCACTTTAACCCATTGTGCCACCAGAGAGGGCCTGGGTTTTTTTGTTTTAATAAAGGAATGAGTGAGTGGAGAATGGGGTTTCTGCTTCTTCATCTATTAAGTGGGGACAATAAAAATACTAATCTCCCAGAGTCGTTACTATCAAACACACACACAACGTCCCTTGTGCCATCTACGAAGGAAACCCATCAGAGCTGTAAGGGTGGTGATATTGTGCTTCGTCTTCTAACTAACTGCCAGGAATCAGCAGAGCAAAGGGAAATTGGTGTCAAGGAGTAGATCAATGAATATTTACTGAGCATTCGTTAAGTGCCCAGCACTGGTCTAGGCACTTGAGATTCATCAATAAGCTAGAGCGAACCTCCCCATGCCTCATAGAGCCTGTGTTCCTACGGGCAGACACAGTCAATACGTAGTAAACAGATTAAGTGGGTACATTGTGTAGTTATGTCCAATGTCAGATGGTAACAAACACTATGAAAAAGAGAAAGCAGAGCAGGGTAAAGGGGCTTGGAAGTGGGGGGAAGGCAGGGGACAAGGGAGGTGGATGTCACATTCATTATTAAACAGGGTATTTTCCCAGTCTTCCTCTCCATTTCCCTCTTCTTCA